ATGAGATTGTGTTAAACTAACACCATCCTGAAGTTTAATTATTCTTATTCCAAGAATAACTTCTGCTTCTCCCAAATCTTTCATGGAGAAACTGGAACAAAGAAAATCCTTAGTTTCCTTAACTTTTTCCAAATCAGTACCAAAAATCAACATGTCATCTACATATAAGCAAATAATAACCCCTTGTCCCTGGTTAATAAATTTGCTGTAGATGCATTTATCTAACTGATTTATTTTGTACCCATTAGCTAGCACCACTTGATCAAACCGATCATGCTATTGCTTAGGGGCTTGTTTTAAGCCATAAAGTGACTTAATCAATTTGCAAACTTTATTTTCCTGGCCTGCAACCATGAATCCTTCTGGTTGCTTCATATAAACCTCCTCCTCCAATTCACCATTTAAAAATGCAGTCTTAACATTCATTTGGTGAACCACTAGATTGTGTATAGCTGAAATGGCAATTAACAATCTAATAGTAGCAATTCTTGCTACTGGAGCATAAGTGTCAAAGAAGTCAACTCCTTCTTTCTGCTTAAAGCCCTGTGCGACAAGTCTAGCTTTAAATTTATCAATGGTACCATCAACTTTCATTTTATTTTTGAAAATCCACTTGCAGCCTATTGGTTTACCATTCGGTGGATTAGTTAAAATCCACGTATTATTCCCCATTATAGAATCCATCTCATCATTTATTGCTTCTTTCCAGAAAGCAACATCTTGAGAATTCATGGCTTCCTCAAAAGTATTAGGATCATCCTCTATATTAAAATAATATAGATTTTTAGTCTATGTAGACTCCCTTGATCCTTCTATCAAGTACAGTTAGAATCTGGTCCAAATGTTTTTCCTTTTCTTGTTCTTTTACTCTTTCTAAGCTCAGGTTCCTGCAAAACTGCATTATCATAAATTTGATCATCAACTTTGGACTCACTAGAACTAGGAATTAAATCCTTAGTTTTATTTATTGATGAAAAATGATTTTCATCAAAGATAGCATCCCGGGACTCTATTACGGTATGAACCGAAATAAAGTCATTTGGTTCTATAACATAGAACCGGTATGCTTTGCTGTGTTCTGAATATCCTATAAAAATACAGTCTATGCCTTTTTCTCCCAGAGCCTTCCGTTTAGGTTCCGGCAACCGTACCACGGCCCTGCATCCCCAAACTTTCAAATAATTCAAGTTTGGTTTTCTTTTGTGTCAAAGTTCATAGGGAGTTACCCTATTTCTTTTGTTAGGAACTCTGTTGAGAATATAACATGCAGTTAGCATGGCTTCTCCCCAGAAACCTTCACTCAGACCGAAAACTGATAACATGCAGTTTACCATTTCTTTGAGTGCTCTATTTTTCCTTTCTGCTACACCATTTTGTTGTGGTGTATAAGGAGCTGTGGTCTCATGAATAATACCAACAGATTGGAAAAATAATGGGTCATAATATTCACCACCCCTGTCAGTACGTAATATTTTTACTAACTGACTAGTTTGCAATTCTACCTCCAATTTAAATATTTTAAATTTTTCTAACGCTTCATCTTTAGAATGCAGGAGGTACACATAGCAGAGTCTTGAATAGTCATCAATGAATGTGACTATATATTTTTTATTTCCCAAAGATGGGGTGCTATGAAAATCACACAAGTCACTATGAATTAATTCAAGTAAAATTGAATTCCTTTTTATACTAGGGAAATGATTCCTGGTTATTTTATTTAACATGCATGCACTGTATTGTTCCATGTTCAAATCAAAGGATGGAATTAATCCATCTTTAGCCATCTCACATAAGCGTTTATAGTTTACATGACATAAACGAAAATGCCATAATGAAGATGTACAAACTGAGTACACAGAACCAACAATATTATTGATATTCAACTTAAACATATTGTTACATAGGAAGCCTTGGCCTACAAAGGTACCGGCCTTAGATAAAATAAATCTATCTGCTTCAAACACAAGCTTAAAACCACACTTGTTCAATACAATGCCAGAAACTAAATTTTTTCTAACATCTGGGGCATGATACACATCTGTGAGCGTTAACTTCTTTCCTGAAGTAAGTAATAACTCAACTTGTCCAATGCCTTTGACTTTTACCATGGAATCATTTCCCATGTACAAGCTCGGACCATTATTCAGACCTTTATAAATCTTATATAGATTTATATCCTTGCAGACATGTCTGGTTGCCCCAGTGTCAACCCACCACGAGTCATCAGTCTGCATGACACAAATTTCAGATATCATAGCAATGAAATGTTCAGTACTATCAGAAACAAGATTAATTGTTTTACCTTGTTTCCATTGGCCACTTCCCTGGCCATGATCACCAGAATTTTTACCTTCCATTTGTGCCTTTCTTTTCTTCCAGATTTCACAGTCTTTTTTAAAGTGTGGACCGTTGCACACCCAGCATGATACAGATGTCTTTCATTTTCCTTTCTTCTTAAACTTTGACGAATTTGTGGCCTTTCCTGGCTTCCCTTTCCCTTTACGGTTCCCACTTGATTTGCCTTCATCAACAAAGTTGATGACAGAACCTGAAGCCCCAGTGACTTTTGCACTACCTGCATTCTTACTTTCCTGCAGTCTGATTCCCTCCTCAACCCGAAGGTCAACCCCCAACTGTTCCATGGTAAGAGCTCCATTTTTATGCTTTAAGGTACGTTGTACCTTTTTCCAGGAAGGGGGCAACTTATCAATGATACTGGCAATGGCAATGGAATCATCCATACTCATATCATGTTGCCTCATTTGCCCAAGTATCCTGACAATCTCATGGAATTGTTCCATGAACAGACGATTGTCCACCATTTTATAATCATTGAACTCACTTACCATGAATTTCTTACTGGAGGCATCCTCAGATATGTACTTTGCCTCAAGTACATCCCAGAGATCCTTTGATGATTCTTCATATTGATAAATATCAAAGAGGGTGTCAGACATACCGTTTAGAATATGGCCACGACAAGCAATGTCATCATTCTCCCATTTGAGTCTCTGGCGAGTAGCCTCGAGAGTCTCATCCTCCCATTCCTCCGGCTTTGGGGTGCTTAGTACGTATGCCACGTTCAGAGCCGCAAGGAGGAACTTCATCTTCTTCTGCCACCTAGGGAAGCCCACGCCTTCAAACTGCTCCAACTTAGGGAAGTTGGTTGCAAAGTCCAGAAGTCCAGAACTCATCCTTCCTCAGAAACAGATATTTAAAGCTTATAGATTGTTATGAAAAAAGGAGTGTTTGATGATAGGGAAGTGAAAAAACGAGATCTTCAGGCGTGTAATCACTTTCCTATAAGCTTTAAATCTCCCTCGTATAAAGCAACAAGGTTCAAGATTTAATCTTATGGGATACAAGAAGATGATGAAATTCTTAAGTTGCTTTGTTTAATAATTTCCTGTAGAAATGCAGTTACTGTGAAATATCTCAGTCTTATGCAAGTTTATTGCATGTATCTTTTTCAGACATTTATCCAAGTATATATAGATGCAAAATATATCTGTTTGGAGAAGTTACATGAAAGTTGCTGTAATTTAAAACTCAACTTCCATAAGATAAGATATATCCTGATCGATATATCTATCACTGGAGAAATTATTAAATATATATTGAGTCAGTAACTGTATGCAAAATTATATATATATATATATATATATATATATATATATATATATATATATATATATATATATATATATATATATATATATATATATATATATATATATATATATTCCTTACACATGGAAACATGGAAAGGATAAATATAAATAATATACATATATGTAGTTTAATAATCTCAAGCATACAGCTACATATACCAAGCATGTTAAGAGTAACTTTGAAGCATATAGCTTCAAAAAATAGAAGAGCATATTTCAAGCATGTTAAGTGTAGTTTTGAAGCATATAGCTTCAAAATGCCCCAAAACCTTACGCATGAAAATATCCAAACATGCATTAATACTCTCAAGCATATAGCTATGTATCTCAAGCATATAGTTATATATCACAAACATATAGCTATATATCTCAAGCATATACATATATAAAACTCAAGCATATAGCTATATATTCCAAGCATATAACTATATATCACAAGCATATAGCTATATATCTCAAACATATAGCCATATAAATTTCTCCCAGTATTTTAATTAACTTTCTACCAAACTAAAATAATATTTAAAACTCCACAACTCCAAATATTATTTAAGCTTTCATGGTAGTTCATCTGAAACATTAATCTCTATTACTATATAAATTTCAAACAATATACGCAGCTAATGAAGTCTTTTAAGATTGATCATTGCATATTGATCATTACATAGAATTCAATTAAGATATTGTATGAAAGTATGATTTTTGCGATTCTCCTTGAGAATTTTTGATTATGGGGGTTCAAACAAAAAGAGCAAAAAGAGGAAGAAGTAGTTTTTGCCTACCGTACTTACTCCCCCTTTCCTTATATCAATAACTCAATCAAAAGGCAATTCTCTCCAAGAACAAAAAATGTCTGTTATGCTTAAGATCTTTAGTTTGATCTGTCTTAATTCTGCCCTTTATTCGAGTAGTTTTTTCTTCGGCAAATTGCCCGAAGCCTATGCTTTTTTGAATTCAATCGTAGATTTTATGCCAGTCATACCTGTGCTCTTTTTTCTCTTAGCTTTTGTTTGGCAGGCTGCTGTAAGTTTTCGATGAGATCCTTAATAATATCTTAGAAAATTCATGATTTTACCAATAAAAATTCTAATTATAAAAAAAAATTAGTAAGATCTTATAAGATTTACAGTTTGAAATCTCGATTCAAAAATTTAGTAAGATCTTTTTGAAGATAAACAATAACAAAAATAATAAACCTTGGGATTTTTATTTGGGATGGCCGGATGGGCAGTAGGGGAGCTAAGAAATAGAAAAGAGTTTTTCCAATTGATGTCATTGTCGTCGAAGTCATCTTCAAAATATTCTTCTGTATCTTTTTGTAATTCCTTTTCAGCGTCTCTGAAATTTTGATAGATACAAGAATATATTAACGATGGGAATGAAACAAAAATTAAAATAAGGTTGAGTGAGTTGTATATATAGAAGATACCCAAATATTGTAGGCACGGACAACAAGTTGTTCATTTCCATAATCTCTCTGAACTTCTTGTATTTGTTTGGCAGAGTTGACAAGCGGTAAATAACAATGAGACAACTCAATCAACTGTAGAGTGTCGATATCTTCAAAACTAGAAGGGATTGCTTCCAATCCATAACATTGTTTGATAATTAGACGCTCAAGGACAGGGAAACCATTACCAGTGGCATACCAGTACGTCAAATATGATGTATAAATAAGCAACGATTTTAACCGAGGAAAACTATCTCCAGTTGGTTTCCAATCCCAATATTTTCCTCGGCAAGCTCTATTTTTAAGTTTAAGCACCTGGAGGTTAGGCAACATACCAATAACTTTCATAGAGTCCCATGGCAGCGAAGTTCCCCTCAGTTTCAACTTTTTGAGCTGTACTGGAAAAGCATCCACATCTGGAAGTAAAACAGGATAAAAGTGTCTGGTTTTAATTTTTAGTTCCTCAAGTTGATGTAAACACCTCAAATTATCCAAACAATTCGGCTCTCCAAATTCCACACGGATGTCAATCAAAATCCCCATCACTTTTGCATTCGGAATCCTCAAAAACACTTGCTCTGTACATTGGAATGGGCGCAACCATTGAACTGTCTGTATGTATTGATGAACCTCAGTTGGAGTACCAAACACAAATGTTGTGCAAACTTGGAGATGTCTCAACTTTCTCAACTCCCAAATTTGAGCAGGTATCAATGGGTTGGGGTCTGTACTTGTACTGCCACCCCTATTTCCTAAAAGCACAAGAGTTTGTAAATTCCAATCCTTTAACACAGGTAAACTGTTAAGAGACTTGGATGGGCACAGAGCTAGGTATCTCAAAAGAATTAGATCCGCAACACATGAAGGTATACCATTAATGAAGTGGAGAGAACCTAAATCTAGTACTCTCAATCTCTTGAAATAAGGGGTTTCAGGAAGTTGATAAACTTGAGGAGTCGTATGATCATCATCATCATGAAAGCAAAAGAGGGAACCATACCTGTTGAAGCCAGTGTGCACATCAAGTTTAGGATACATTGATTCTAAACTTAACCAACGTTCAGTCGTCCTTACAGTTACAGATGAATATCTACTTGCAACATGTAGGAGGCCCTCCTTCGTTGCTTCATTCCTACAAAAGTCATGTACAATGTCGTGCACCTTACATGACTTAATCTTGCCATCTAAGCTCAAACTGTCAATCAAAACTAAACTCCTAGATACAAGATCCTTTAAGTAATCCTCACCAACTTCTTCTAAGCTCCTTTCATCTTCGACCTTCACAAACCCTTCTGCTATCCATAATCTAATAAGTTTTTTCATAGGGATTGCACTATCTTCCCGAAAAACTCCCAGATATAAGAAACAAACTTTCAAGACATTAGGTAAGTGGTTGTAACTCAACCTGAGAATCTCTGAAAAACTATCAAGAAGGCCGTTGGTCACAGTGGCACATAATATTTTCTCAATCTCCTCTGATTCAGATTCCCATAGTGACTCATTGGTGGCTTGTACAAGTCCTGCAACTATCACAATTGCAAGCGGCAATCCTTTACAATACTCTACAATGTATCTCCATATCCCTTCAAGTTTCATAGGCAAGCTTAAGCTTCCATAATTGAGAATCCTCTGATTAAATAATTCCCAACTTTCATCTGGATTTAGGAAAGGCAAGTTTAGCCAATAATTATGTGATCCTCCTGTAGAAATGGCCACTTGTTGAAGTCGAGTGGTCACCAATATTCGACTTCCATTACTATTTTCTGGGAAGCACCTTTGGATTTCATCCCAGAAGCCTGTGCTCCACAAATCATCTACAACAATGAGATACCTCCGACCCATTAAGCGTCTACGTAATAGGTCTGCTAGTTCTTCGTTGCTTTTATAGATGACATTCACTTCCTGGGTGATTATAGACAAGAGCTGAAGAAGCATCTGTCGCATGTCAGATTGTGCAGACACAGTTGTCCACGCAACAACGTCAAAATGAGATGTAACTGTTAGATCTTCATACAATGTTTGAACAAGCTTTGTCTTGCCTATACCTCCCATGCCAACAATGGGCACAACCCGCCTTTCTTTCTTGGGTGAATCTTGAAGAAGTAGCTCCTTTATCAGATTCACTTCGTCATCATGTCCTACCATTGTTGTGCTCCGAAGCAGCTTTGAACCAGCAGAATGATGATAATGCTCAATCTTTTCACTGGAGGAAGAAGGAATCTCATCATCTTTTATTTGCAAATCTTTCATCGGCTGTTTGTTCTTCACCAACTCCATAAACTCTCGGGTGCCATTTTGCAAGGTTGGAAGGAATCTTTGAGGTTGTATGTAGTCGTCAACTCTTCCAAGGAATCGCCTTCTCGGGTCCTCTCTGCCACAAACATCAATTATTATTTGTGATTCAATTTCTTCTTCTATTCTTAGTGCAACCTCTTTAATTCTCCCTTTCCACTCTTTGGTCGTGTCGTCATCATCATTTAATTGATTCTCAGAATGATTATCAAGAAACGCTAGCAACTGAGCAAGCCTTCGATGGAGAGCTTCCACTGCTTCTGCCTCTGTGTAGTCAAGAACAAGACGTGGATAAGGTTGCAGGAACTCGAGCTCTATTGTTCGCATCAGTGAAGTTACAGCAAACCAAGCCATAGCCAATACCAAAACTTGTTCCTTTCTCTGTGTGTGTGTGTTTATGAGTGTGTTTTGTGTGCAATAATTATTGGTCATTCAACTATTGAGTGGTGTCCATTGACACGGCACACCGCTATTCCTAACTTGTCTCCACCAATGGCAACCTGTATTATACAAAATGCGATTCCTCCCTCCCTAGTCAACACGGTTTTAGTGGAGTGATTAGTGTGTGTGATAGGATATATTCACACCAAATATTGTCTCAGGGGTGTGGACTAAAAGGGCGAGAATACTAAGTCGTTAATCACGATGATGAAGGTTGAAATAATGCCAAGGGCATTCTTGTACTTTCCACATTAGTCTTCAGTTATAACCGTTTTTCTTCCATATACAAATGCCCTGGTCTTTTCACTCTGTAATGTGAACAATCAGAAACTTATGCATGTCTTGAACTTCTTTTCTCTCAATCAGTTTACTTTGCAGCCATCATGTGTTGAGCTCCTGTTACTTCAACACACGAAAATATCTACCTAGTGTTTGGAGGAAAAAAGAGTGAAATGTGAAGGGAGATGCATTCATTTCTCAAAATGTGTCTCTCTTTTTTTGTGGACAAAAATATGAAAAGGACGTTTGGGAGATCGTTTGATCTCAGAATTGGTCAAACACAAATACATCTCCAATCAGGGGACGGAGCCAGAAATTCGGTTGAGGGGGGGCGAAACGGTATAGACGGATTCATAAATTTTTTCGAGGCTAAACATTAAAACAAAAGAGATAATTTAAAAATAAATAAATAAATTACCTAAGAAATATAATTGTAAATATTGTTGGATATGGATGAAAAATAAAACACATCCAAACTTTATAAAAAATATTTATAACAAAATATGAAACATAATTAATTTGATAAAATAATTTGAATAGCAAACACATTATAAATTACACATCTTATTATTAATATAAAAGAATGTTATATATATATATATATATATATATATATATATATATATATATATCTGTGTGTGTGTGTGTGTGTGTGTGTGTGTGTGTGTGTGTGTGTGTGTGTGTGTGTGTGTGTGTGTGTGTGTGTGTGTGTGTGTGTGTGTGTGTGTGTGTGTTAAATATTAAAAAAGGAGTCATAGGAGAATGAGTAAAAAGAATTGTAAAATTATGTTCATGCCAAAAATTGAACACTTGACCTCACTATTGCCAAATATGTGCTCAACAACCTAAGCTAACTCACTTCTACATTTTATAGTTTTTTTATACTAATACTAAAACATTTACTATATATACATATATACATACAAAGACTATATATGGGGTAAGGGTGGGGTGAGGGGGGCAGCTGCCCCCTGCCCCCCTCTGGCTCCGTCCCTGTCTCCAACGAAGGAGGTGGCCTTCTCCTTTGCTGGAGAAGCAAGTGAGAGATAGCAGTGTGGAATTTAGAGGGACCAGTTGTTTGGTTAATTTGTGGTGTTTAAATCAACTTGAGGAACTAAAAATTGGAAGCAGAGACTTTTATCCTGTTTTACTTCCAGTTGTGGATCCTTTTCCAGTACAGCTCAAAAAGTTGAAACTGAAGGGTGTAACGTTTATCCGTTACTATTATTATAACATTAGGATAAGTTATGATAATATTCAGTATTTGATATGTGGTGTAACACTAATAACCTAATAGCTAGACTACCATTATGATTAGGAGTCTAGTTAGGGTTTAGGAGACCTAAAGACAATCAACCACAATGATGGCCAGTGGTTATATAAGGTCACTAGTCCTCTCACTGCTCACATTACATACCTCATACACCATCTAGAGAGAGCTGAGTAAAGTGAGAGACAAAATACTCGTTATCTCTGCAGCAGTCCAAGAGCTATGGCGGGAGGTTAGTCGATCCTATTATCACATATTATAATGATGCATGTGATATTTTAGTCTAACAAAGGGAACTTTGCTGCCCTGGAACACTATGAAAGTTATTGGTTATGTTGCCTAACCTCCAGCTGGCAACCTCCAGCTGCTTAAACTTAAAAATGGAGCTTGGCGAGGAGAACATTGGGAACTAACTCAAGGTAGTTTTCCTCGGTTAAAATCATTGCTTATTTACAGATCAGATTTGAAGTATTGGAAAGCCACTGGTGATAATGATTTATTGATTTCCCTGTCTTTGAGCGCCTAATTCTTAAAGAATGTTATTAATTAATTGGAAAAAATCCTTTCTAGTTTTGGAGAAATATTCACCCTACAGTTGATTGAGTTGTCATTGTTATTCTCGACTTGTCAACTCTGCCAAACAAATACAAGAAGAGCAAAGAGATTATGGAAATTATGAACTTGTTGTTGGTGCCTATAATATTTGGATATCTATATATATATATATATATATATATATATATATATATATATATATATATACAACTCACTCAACCTTACTTTTGTTTGCTATTTTAATTCTTATTTCATTCCCATCTTTAATTAATATATTCTTGTATCTAACTAAATTTCAGAGAATTGCTGAAGAGAAATTAAACTTGAAGATGAACTTAAAGATCAGAGTAACTAGAAGGAAGTGAAGGGGATTTTGAGGAATAATGATCTCAAAACTGTGGATTCATCACAGTCCTAAGTTTATGTTGGCTTCTACCTCTTGAATTCTTGCAGAGTTGGAAAGAAATTTGTAGAGAATAAGTGTAATATAATGGTTGGGAAATTTCTACACATGCATGCATGTTTAGGTTGGCTTGCAGGTAGAATTGCAATAAGTTGTAATAGCTGTGCAGATTACATAATTGTTTAAATTGAAGCTTCGAAGGGTGGTTTGCAGCAGATTTGGATCTCAAGTTTATTTTGTTTGATGCACCAAAAGATAAACTTTTAGTACCAAAATAATTAATTAATTTACATCAGATCAGATCAATTGAAACAATCTTCTCTGATCTATTGCTTAATTAATGCCCATCGCCCATCCCAAATAAAAATCCTATGGTTTATTATATATTTTTTCTATCATTTATCTTTAAAAAAAAAAATTCTTTAATTTAGCTGCATATATAATTATATATTTTGAGTCTGTGGATGTCCTCAGCTCCTTCCTTTAAAATCACGTACTGCTCATGCTCATTCAAGGAATGGGGTTGAAGCAGCGGACAGCTACTGACAATAATATATATAATGTTTTCCCTATCCTAGATCAGAGTGACTTATCATTAAACATTATTGTATTCATTTTGCAATTATTTGAGTTGTTTGGCTGTTTGTTTTGGCCTTTGGTAACGGGTCCGTGATTTATGGTTCACTGTATTATATATATATATATATATATATTGTAATAAAGTCAATAGTATTAAAAAAAAAAAAGACTAATTCCAATTTATAACATTCTTTAAGAATTAGGTGCTCAAGCCTCAAGGACAAAGATATCATTATTATCAGTGACTTCCCGGTGCTTCAAATCTGATCCGAAAATAACCAATAATTTACCTTTTGAACGTACGAACTTCTCAGTCACTCAAATTTTTGAAACAAGTTATTAATTGTCGGTATGTTTGGGTAGAATATAATTTTATATTATTCACTCTGTGCCTAATATAATCCTGGACTGATGGGATACATGATGATTTAATGTTAGCACATTCAGTTACGGTATTCAGAATGCTCAGCAGATACCAATACACCATCTAGGGTTCTGAGTCAGGTCAGAGGCAAAACATGGCTAACGGTCACAACAGGAACATCAACTATGGCTGGAGATCTACATGGCTGCTTCCGCTCTCATACGAGGTCAGGTTCCTATGTTGTCTTCTTCTCAAAACTTTGCTCATTCATTCTTGAAAATTGCTTGTGTTCAAGCTTGTTGTTCTAGTTCGCCGAAGGTTTATAGTTTAAGTGCTCAAACTATAATAAATATCGTTGATCCATTTTATCCCAGGAAACTAACGCTACAACGCTCCTAGCACCCCTGTGAGGTAACGAATTGGTTTTAAGGACAGTGTGTGTATCACACGACTTGGATCCTTCGTTTCTTCTCCTTTTCTTCGGTATGTGGGATTATATTTATAAATTTTAAATCTTTTTGTTTATATATATATATATATATATATATATATATATATATATATATATATATAGGGTGAGGTTCAAGTGAGGATAAGGTCTTAGGTGAGGATTGTGGATTAATGAGATCCGTCGGATGGGACAATCGAATGGAACAGATTGCACAGAAAAAGGAAATTAAAAACCCAGTAAATAAGTCAGTAATGGTAGAAGTCATTAAGATTGGGGGTAAAAGGGTAATTCAGAAATTGAACAGATTCAAGTGACTTTAGTAGTTTAAAACTTTTATCATTAGTGTTAATGTTTTTAAATGCCATAAACTACGTACACTACCATGCGATTAATTAATTTTTGAGGTCTAAGACAATTTAAATTTGCTATGTTTGAAAAGATAAATTTACTTTAAGTTGTAATCTCAATTTGAATATTAAATGGGTTTATTCATTTGTAAGTGCAAGAATTGTGAAAATACGGGAAGTACGTTCCCGAATGCAAATCAACAGTTGTGCATCCGCGAGTTTCACTATGAGTGCAAAAAAAATATTGCAAAAGCTAGGAATGTATTAAAGTTATTAGTTTTCATATTACACATGTGACGGACTATGCATTCGAGAGAATTGCATATTGGAAGTACGAATTTAAGGGAATGCGTTAATTTTTAGCGATACCGAACACTCGTTAATTAACGTTAAAGTTTTGCTAAATGGTTAATCACGCTTCAGAAGTAGTGCATCGGTGTAGTAGTACAATGTGCAAGCATGGACAAGTTTCTAGGACTGGTTTGTGCAACGTTGTGGTTTATCATTGTGCCAGTGCGACATTAAGAGACAGAAAAGTTAAAAACAAAAATTCAAACACATTGTTTTAATAACAAACCAAATAGCAGAACACTAAAAGTGCATTGCGAAATTAATAAAAAAAAAAAACAAAAAATAAAAGTGCTAAAATCAAAATAAGATTATAA